CTTCATTTAAGTGTTTCCAGATGTTGAAAGTTTGTAACTCTGTACAGATGCCCACTGCACTATTTGGCAACTCATACTTCATCTTCTTTATATTTAATCAAAACCCACTGAAAATTCTGCTTATTATTCCTGGTTTAGCTCTTGAGGGCTGGTATAAATAAATCTTAGCCTTTACTTAAGTAGGGTTTCTAAGTTTCATCTTAAAGCCAAAGTTTCAAATATATTTTTAAGAACATTACCAGGATTCCAGGGAAATGGAAATACAAAATAATACTATTGCATTTGCTTGCACAGAACTAAAATGTGCTAGCCAAAGAGTAATAAAAATAACAAAGATCCTGGTGAACTTTCAGGGCATGCTGAGGTTCCCTCAAGTCCAAACACATGCAATTTACAGAACTTCAACTACTTAAGTTTGTCTCTGGTTCCTTGTCTGCCACTTCCTTGAAATAATTTATCCTTTGCAATCATAGATAGCTTCATATCCTTTGCAATCATATTCTTACTGAGGTGTCTGTATCACAGTGAGTGATAGATATTTTGAAAGAAATGTTGAAATACTTGCAAATACAATGGGTTTTTGAATATATTATTGGATGAGGCTGATTGAGTGTGTGTGTGTGTAATATATATATATATAATTTCCTGGAGGAACACATCATCCAATATCTAAATTTCTACTGTAAAGTATTTGTTTTAATAGCTTTATGATTATTCTGCTTCCTCTTTGAGACCAGAATAATGAATTTCAATGTTCTGGGTGAGTCGATTATCCAGTGTGGTATCCTTTGCTTATTTCTGTTTTTAGGTTTCTCATTAAGCTGCATTAACAGCCTAAAAAAAAAAAAAACAAAAAAAAACAAAAAACAAAAAAAAAAAAAAACAGATAGCCCTCAAAAGTATAACCCATACATAATCTTGTTCTTTGGGTGATGTTAAAAGTACATGTCACTTACACCATTTGAAATGGAAGAAATATCTATAATTGTGACCTCTCAAGTGACTAGAACAAAAAATAAACTAAACCTCAAAGACTGCTTCTAAGAATCAACTTGTCATAATTTTATAAGACGGCTGAGGTCACTAGGCACATACGTTCCTTCGGGCAACATGCCCCAGAGGGAAATTTCATGTTGATATATTTCAATCACAATATCTGGGGAAAATTTAGGCAGCTCTGAAACAAAGTGATAGACAATAGTGCCAGAAATGTTGGCACAGCCAGAGAACCGGGGGACAGAAAATGGGCGATGGCTGGAGCATAGAAAAAGGACATTGTATCTGCTGAATGTGGAGCTCAGTGCTGAGAAGCACCAAGAGATTGAAAGGCAGTGTTTTTGAGATGTGGGCAGAAGGGAATTTATACTAAATACATATTACAGTGTGTTCAGATAGCTAATTTAATACATGGTCTTTCTTTTCCTAACACGTACATAATTTAGTTGCATAGAACAATTAGCAGTCTTAGTTGGTGGTTATGATGAGCCATTTTAACAAAGATCTATTTTTACTTTCAAGAGCATAACTGAATAAAACACCATGCTGTGCTCAATGATTTAATTAGCTTCTCCTACTGGAAGACAAGCTGCTCCAGCCCCCAGACCACACCCAAGTATCTACCCCTTCCTGACAATAGCTTGCCCTAGTTAAACAGCATCAGAAAGTCTGGGTGTTGATCTTATCAACTCAGCTTAAGCAGGGAGGGGATCAGAGAAGAAAGAATTCTCCTTTACTCCCTTGATTTCCAAAAGCAGACAAGCCACGGGGCTAATGTTGGTTTCATGCATCATGGAAGGCAACATATAAATAATCAGAAGACTCATTGGTCATGGAATTTATGACTCCGACAATCACCAATGCTGTGTGCAGCTACAGTGATGCAGGGATAGAAGTAAGGGCAGCGACGGATGAAATAACAATTAGATGAAAATTCTGTTACTGTACCAATCATCACCTAGTAGTGTTAACTATACACGTAAAGATGGTTTGCATGCTTTTAAAATGTCTTTTCTTCTAAACATTTGTAATATGTGTATATGGCATATATGTCCATATGTATACAAATAAATACATTTCTATTTATGGATGGATGGATATGTGTGTACATGTACAGGTATGTGTGTATATGAGCAATATATTTCTGACATAGCATACAAGCAATCATGTTTGTCCACATTGACAGTGTTTCTTGCTGGGTACTGAGACACACCAGCACAGAGGATGCCTTTCTGCTGCATTGGTACTTCCCATGGAGTTAGAACTTTTATTAAATGCATGTGCTACTTCCATAACTAAAATGTGTGTTCATATAATTGCCATGTGATTAAATGAAACTGCCACCTCTCATTTTCTTAGACATAAATATCCTAGGGATTCTATCAAATACATTTCAGAGATCCATTAGGTAAAGGAATCTCTACTAGGTCCCAGTAGAAAGAAATGCCCTGTTGAGCATCTCAGTACCCAGACAGATCTGACTGGGTAGTTTCTGGGAAGACAGGAAGCAGCAGGGCACAGGGGCCTCCCACCATTTCTTACTAATTTCACAGTAGTTGAATTCTGTTTTAGAACTCCCACTGGGTTTCAATCATCACCTCTATGGAGGTGACCAGAAATCTCCAGGCAAAAATCCCCAGTCACCCTGTTTAGCATTCTAGGCTAAGGAATCCTCTCCTGGTCTCTGCTGCACTAGTGAATGTGGCAGGGGCAAGGCTTGGGCTAATGTTTCATGGTCTGTGTATTACAAGGTTACAAAAATGATTACCTTTACAGCTCCAGAGTTCTGTCTTTTAATAACATTTCATTTTTCATACTTCTACCAGCCCAATTTAAAGAGGAATTCCATAGAAGACAGTTCTACAGCACAAGGGACTGGATACAGGAGAATCATCTAGGCTTGCTGTTCCTTGTGACATAGCCCCAGCAGGATGCATAAAGATTTTTTTTCTACAGGTACACATTTTTATGTCTGAGAAAGGTTGTGGGGCCAGGATTGTACCATTGTCTTCTGTGCCTCCTGTTGACTCACTAAATGTGACACTATATACTTAAGCAGAGGCAGGCACTCCTGGACCACACGGCTTCAGCTTTCTAATGCTCAGAACTATCACACACAACAAATAATTTTAAAAAAAATCCTACAGGAGGTAGACTTAATGTTGAAATCATGAAATCTGTAGCTTCTCTGTTCACATTGTTTTTGAAACCCCAAGTTTTAGAGGTGCTGTTTTTTCCAGAGACAGATCATGTATATTGTTCCTCAACTATAATGCAGAATCTACTTTTTTCTTTTCTTGGAAGGGGGGGCAATTTCTACATGTACCAGGACCCTTACAGTAGTCAATACTGCATCTACTTTCATGCCAGGGACTTATTTGTGTCTTGGAGTCATTGGGAACTGGCCCATAGCCACCTCTATCCTAAATTTTCTCTGGGCTGTTTTGAAGCATTCTCACAGAAATGTGAGATGGTGGTTGATGAAAATATAGTCCTGCATCTCAGCAGCGGCCAGCTGGATAACCAACTGCTGGGCCAAGGGTTTGGCTCAATCTCAGAGATGGAAGGTTCCATTCAAAGCCAGGTTCCAGTCCATTCTAGGGATTATATTTGTCATCACAACATTTCCGTGACAGCCCCAACAACTGAAAAACTCCTAACAGAAACTCAGTGACTTCAGCTCCTGGAAACAATCTCGTCCAGACCCTCTGCTTTCCCTCCCTGTAAAATCCAAGAGAGAGTTGCAGTTCTGAGATGGATGACTAGGAACATATTACTCTTAGCCAACCCACTTTCCCCCAGCTAGAAACGATGCCAAGTTTGATCTTGAAATGACTATAGGGAGTCTCTGGTAATGGAATCCCCACCTACTCAAAGCTTGCTTACACTTAATATACATCATATCCGTCCTTTCAAAATGATGACATGTGATTCTGATAATGAACTGTCCCCATTGGACTGTGAGATTAAAGGTCACATGCAGAAACACAGAGGAACATTTTCCTGTGTTCAAGGGGAAAATGGAAGGAAGCAGAAAGAAAAGCCCTCACATACACCACTTGTATTTGTGACCCACACCTAAGTCAAGGAGAAGTTTGAATAGAAATTGTTTTGCTTTTTTTTTCTCTTTATTACCTGATTCCTCCAGATCCACGGCATGAACAGAAGTAACAATTTCATGAAGTGTTTCTGTCACAGTGGTTTATATTAAGAAGTTTGTGACAAGAGAAAATAAAGCTGGGAAAAGAGCTTAATAGACCCCCCAAACATGTGGAAAATAGGGTCATCAGACATGATCTCAGATCCTAAAAAAAAATCATAGGTGAAGCACAGACTAGGAGGGGCCAGGCATCCTGAGAGTCTGACCATGGAACTGGTGAAATGAGGCTTTGTCCTTGGCTCAAGCCTTCCTTGACATCATGAAAACTGAACTCTTAGAGAAACAAATGTGAACCCCCTTTCCCCACTGTATCCATGAGCCTGTAGTAGTGAGCCTCAGCCCAAAATGCTGAGGCTGTTTTCCTGCTGGAATATATTGTTGTAACACACATTGCTACTTTTATTTTTGCTATTTTTTTTCCAAGTCAATCAGACCACTTTCTAGTATCAATTTACAAAGCTTAGGATTTGAATGCTCCCTTTCCTATACTACTGTCCTAGACAGGTCCAACCCTGTCACTGAAACAGCACTTAGAGTCACATGGCTCTGTAAACTAGCTATGGGCTTCCATTGACTCCTTGACTCATCTCTACTGCAGCAGAAGGCAAAGATGGCCTCACATAGGCAGTACCGAGCTGTACAAACAGCCCAAGCTGAACCAGTCCTTCCTGCCACCAACAGCACAGCTGCCTGCGCTGACCCCTGGGTAACCACTCTGAAGTCCTTCAAGCACAGACAGCTCCCATGCTACTTCACCATACCTCAGAGACAGAGCACACAAGTTGACATTACCCCCATGGCACTTCCCAGCTCCTATGTGATGAAACCAGACGGGGAGGGGGCATGCAAAGCCACTAACTAGTCTTGGTATATTTAGTCTGCAAATGGAAGTGGTTTTACAGATATATTTCTGCAAGACATCCAGGAGGGTTTCAAAGACCTTCAGACAACCTTGTGGTTGGAAGACTGAAAGTAAAGAGAAGAGATAGTATATTTTCTAAATGGATGGGGGATTACAGTAGAATCCTGTGGTACAGGGGAAAGATGAATGCAGAGAGGGAGGAGGGAGCAGTGCCATTTATGTGAACATCCTCGGCATCTTTAAAATAAATTAGACAGGTGAACACAGAAGTTCATGCTACTTGCTGGAAGCAATAAGGATCAAATTTTGTGGAACGTGTACTCCACAAATCTCCAGGTAGCCTGCCTCTTTCTCAATGGGCTATCATGTCCTGTTGTACATCCCAGTAGCCCTTAAAACCTGGTAGTGTGGTCTCAGATAGATCCTTGCAGGAGAGAGGCGGATACGGATTCCATTAGCTTCTTCCAGGGGAGCTGCCCAGTGGCCAGGAGGGCATAGATGATACCCTTTCTTGAGTTCTTTTTGCCTGTCAACCAGGGTCAAACAGCAGTCTCCAAGTCCTCATGGCCAATGATCTTATAGTTCTGTCGGCTTTCTAGATAAGCAGCCAAATCTGGGTCCCCAGCCTGCTGTGCTCGTTCTTGGGGTGTCTTTCCCTGTAGATAACAGAAAAAAAAATAGTTGGAGTGAGATGATATCCGTATATAAGAGACATGGGCTAGCCAACGATGAGTCACTACACAGAATCCTTCCATGGCTGATGTTTCAGAGTTTACAAGATACTTTCACATCTATTTGCTTCTGTAATCAGGGTCATATAAATGTGTGTTGGTAAATGAAAGGACGATGGCAGAGGATGTATCTCCGTAAAACAGGAAGTCATGGAGTCTCCCCGAGATGGTGGGGAGAAACTGTGTGCCGTGAGTTTGAAAGCCAAGTGCTTTTCAGAAGGTGACAGGGGAAATACTGAATGAAATGGGGAAATAGTTCAGGGTTCTTTTGCACTAAACACTGGGAACTAAGTAGCAAAGGCTAAAAGGAAGAGCACTAGCTCACAAATCAGCTAGAAGGTACTTCCTTGGCTGGTTTCAACACCCATCTTCCTAAAAGTTCACTCATTTAGTTTACACCTAGTACTAAATTGTTAGCTTAAAGTTTCTATAACATGTTTACACAACTACAGTAGACCATCTTGCCTTCACTTTGATAATGATGAAGTTGACATCCCCACCTTCCAAATATAAGAAAGTAGGGTGAAGTGGACTTTAGTGGACTGGTAGTGAGTTCTTTGCTAAGAAAAATCTCCAGGGATATTGCTTCTATACTAAAAATTCCAAGAGAAGTTGCATTCACAGGTATGTTCAGCTTTGATCTAGTACCGTGTTACAGAAATGGTAAGATTAAAGGATTCTGAAAAAAGAATGAAGCACAGCTATATTACTATGTGGTAAGATCTATAGAACATAATTTTGAATGAAAAGTTAGGGTGTTCAGTAGCATGTCTGGTATGACTCCAACTGAGTTTAAACATAAAATCCAAGCAGACATACCTACATGCAAATAGTATTAAATTTTAATCATATTTTGGCCTAAGGGAGAGGATTGTGCTTTTCTTGTGTGCTTTCCTGTACTTCTAGTTTTCTGTGTATGATCATAAAAATCAGAGTTATTTATATTTTGAAAAAAAAAGAATGCACTTACATACTTCTTCAAAATAGGAAGAAGTCTCAAATACCTTGAGTCCATTTGTCTAAGAAACTTGGAGACCTCGTGAGTTTCAGTTTGTTTCTCTGTTTCTTATGTCTCTTCCTTTTGTTTTTGGTATCTGAATGGTGTACAGGACCAGCCTTTGTGTGACAAGTGGGCAGCAACCATACTGTGGTCTTGCCTTCACCAAGCCAGTTCTCCCAATATGGCCTAGACTACTCCTGCCTACAAAGTATGAATTTCTGGATTCAGTGAAACACTGAAATATTTCAGTGAAACTTCATCTGGTAAGGATGCCACATGAAGCATTTATCTGTCATTTGAAATGTGTTGTCTGCTTAGCTAAACAGGTAACAGATTATCTAGATACCAAGATCTGGTGTGTTTGGTAAACCCAGGGAGAAGCTGAGGCTCCTAGAGAGCAGGGGTGCCAAAGGGTGCCAGGGAACTCCACGGCATGCAACTGGCTCAGAAGTGAATGAGAGGTCCGTTCATAAGGCAACTTACGTCATAGGGTTTACTGTCTTTTAAGAAAGGTCCAGGGCCCAAACTGGACATATGTAGATTTTGATCATTTAACCAAATCTAATGGAGTTTACAACGCTAATGATCAGGCTTCCAAGTTCTATGTGTATGCACCACAGCTACAGATACTGGCTCAAAACCTGTTCCTATATAATGAAAGCCTCACCCACACTTTAAAATTTCTCTTTGAAACACAGAGATACAGTTAGTGATAGTCCTTTCTTTACTGTCTGCTCAAAGTCCTTCAAAACTCCAAGTGCCTATCAGAACAAAAGATGGACTCCTATGATTGATATTCTCACTCCCTCCCCCTCTCTTTGTCTCTCTGTCTCTCTCTGTCTCTGTCTCTCTGTCTCTGTCTCTCTGTCTCTCTGTCTCTGTCTGTCTCTGTCTCTCTGTCTCTCTCTCTCTTCTCCTCCCTCTCTCTTTCTCCCTCCTCTGTGTGTGTGTGTGTCTGTCTGTCTGTCTGCCTGTCTGCCTGCCTGTCTGTCTGTCTCTGGTCCTGTTTCTGTCTCTGCCCTTGGTCAGCTCCCCTGAGCTACAAGACCCCCATACTCCATTCATCAACTGTCTCTTGGTGGTTCTCTGGGAATTGAATCTTCTGAGGATGGCACCAGATCTGTCTCTCCTAAGACTCTTCCTGGTGCCCTCCCTCCACACACTCTACCAACAACCTCTGGCCTCAAGACCATTTTAATATGCTTACATACTCTGCAGATTTAGAACCTAACCTAAGAATGTAACCACGACTCAAGCCTCATTGATGTAAGCATCATTGTCAAGCGAAAATCTGGGCTGTTAAAATGATACAGGACAGTGAACTCTGTTACTCTTTGTTGTCACATGTCCTACTGAGGTGGTGGGACATTCTGTCCCAGATGAGGAGGGCTGAGTGGCTCAGACAGTATCAGGCTACAAGTCAACAGAGTTAATAGTGTTACAGCTATTCTTCTTCTGGCTTTCTGCTCCCGTGTCTGTCAATAATAGTGTTTTTCATGCTAATTTCTATGGTTGACATTTAGGGAATAATGTAAAAAAAAAAAAAACACACAGAAAGACTTTGAAAAATTAAAGGTAACTGGGGTTGGAAAGATGGCTCAGCACCTAAGAGTACTTAGTTCTCTTGCAGAGGCTCCAGGTTCAATTCCCAGCACCCATTTGGAGAATCACAACCATCTGGCCTCTTCAGCCAAGAGAGCTCTCCGAAAAGGAGCTACTTCCTGTGTGTTTGTCTTTATAAAGACTTTCGGTTCTGCCTTCTCATTGGTTGTAAACCCATGCCTCGTCACTGCCTGTCTGTAAAGACTTCCAGGTCTTCTATGGTTGGGATTGAGATTAAAGGCATGTGTCTCCAATGCTGGCTGTATCCTTGAACACACAGAGATCTACCTAGCTCTGTCTACCAAGTGCTGGGATTAAAAGTGTGCGCCACCACTGCCACGCTCTTGCTATGGCTCTAATAGCTCTGACCCCCGGGCAACTTTATTTATTAACATACAATTAAAATCACATTTCAGTACAAATAAAATACTACCATATGGAACTCCAGTTCCAGAGAATCTGACACCTCTTTGGGCCTCAATAGACTCTAGAACACATGGTGCATATCCATATATTCACACACATAAACATATACACATGCACTTAAAATTAAATAGATAGATACAGAGTGGCGTGGATATACCAAGGTTATAACTGTTACCATCTCAAAGTGAAGTCCCACCACCTGGGGAGTCAGCCAGCAGGCAATCACCTTTGGTACCCATGCTTGGAGCAACACAAATCATAGACTTTAAATTAGATTAGATTTGGTGCTGACGAGGAACCCGAAACATACTTCCTAGTAGGCAGGCTAGGACATGCACTCCACCTCATCTCTATCCTCTGGCCGTGAGTCTCACTTCCCCACTCCTTGCCTGCTGGTGTTTCATGAGAACACCTGGAGTCCCATGTCCTTCTTTAGCATGTATAGAGGTTTCTAAAGTACCCAGGCAAATGCACACCCTCCCTTTGTGCTTCTACATTTAAACTGCAGTTTCTCTAAATGAAGCACTCTATTTTTTCCTCCTTTCTCCAAAGCTCCAGGCCCTTCCATGAGCACAGAAAGGATGCCTGTGCTATGGGCACAAGTGGAGGCCACAGTGCCTGCCATCTCTCACAGTGGGAGGATGCTTGCACTCACTCATCCTGTTACCTTGGAGTCTGTCTGTCTCAGCGATGCTCCTGCGTCCACCAGAAGCTGGCACACAGCCCGGTTCCGTTGGCAGGCGGCCTTGTGAAGTGCGGTCTCGCCCCTAAATCAAAGATTAAGAAACCAGGCAAGGGTTGGAGACAGATGAGGTGATGGAGGCAGCAGAAGGGTGGAGGGGCTTATCCTGCCCAGTTGCTGACACTGTGTGCTCCTTAGCCTCCTCCATGGTGAGAAGCTGAGGCCTAGGCCAGCAGAATACATGCATGCTAGGGAGGTGGCTTGGGGTGTCTGCAAATTCCTCAAGTTACACATTAACAGACCTAATATATAATTTTAACCACTTGTCTAAACTGGATGTGGCTTGGTGATACTTTTTAAAAATAACTACAACTATTGGATTTAGGAAACACTCAAAGATACTGAGTAAAATTGTGCAGATCTGTCCAAACTCTTAAGGCAGAGCATGAATTGAGTTCCATGGAGCTCACACAATCCTGCCCTTCCAACATGATAGAAGTCATTCTGACCTTTATGAGTCTATTCTGAGAATTCAATTTTGAAGAGCCAGGCTGACTTCTTCCCTTGCTAACCAGCCAATATTGGATTATATCTATCAAATGGAAGGATATCTGAGAGGCTCTAGAAGACTCCAGCAGAATTCACAGGCCCAAATCCTCCCAAGTACACAACATGGCTGAGACCATCCCTCAGTGTGTGTGTTGGGGGGGGGAAGCAGACAGGCCCCCATCTGTCTGTTAGGTGGACCAGGTGAAGGAGGTACTGCCATTCTGAGTCCCAAGGTATAAAGATGTTTAATGCCAACATGTTTCATGAAAAGTCAAATGTCACCACAAAGAAGCCAAACCAGGATGAATGGTGGCCCCACTTACAACCATGCTGACATGCCATCTCTAAGGATCAGTGGCTCGTTTCTGTGACCAGCAGCTCATAGTTCTATCCCTTCTCACTTGCCCTCTACTCCATCCATCCATTCCCATGTCTACCCCCTGATCACTAGCTCATTCCTCTCTAAACCCGCTCGCTCATCTTTATCCTTTGTTTGACCTCTTTGAAATTCCCCGGTGGTCCCCATATGGCTTTCCGAGTTAATTATTCATCTTTTTCTTATTCCTGTTAGTGAAAAAGTAGCTATTTGTATGCCAGAAGAATAAGAAAGATGAAAACAAACATTTTCAGTGTAGGGACCATCCCAGAATTATAATTGTTTGAGTAACTACGTTTCCAGTTTTCCAGGGGTGGTATACAACTTGTTCCATCACAGACTGACTAACAGAAGTTGTGCCATTACATGCAGCAGATGTCTTAAGGCATGGATTCATTTTCTCACAAATCCCAGATGAGAAAAAATGTTGCATATGGTGGAGATAACTATACATGTATTTATTTATTGTCAGCAGTCCAAGTACCAGTTTAAAAGTATCTTGCTGGTAGGATGATAGGTAATGATAATGACATCATTGACTACGTATATAATCATCACAATACAAATTATTGGGTTTTGTTGTGATGTTTTATGAAGCAGATTACCTCTGCACAACCATTAATACAGTTTAAAGTGGGTGTTTAATCAATAAAATTAAAACTGATATGCCTCATAGACTAGATATGCTTTGAATACAACTGTTCAGATTATATAATGAAAGGCAATACTCACGTTTCACTGTCTGCCATATCCAATAATTCTGTAGGTCCTAAACAACAGTGACAAAAAAAAGCAAGATGTTCAAAAATATATTATAAGACTAACTGTTGACAGAAAATCTATTGGTGAATAATTTAAATGATGAAGAAAGGTGAACTGAAGAGATAAATTTGATGACAAGGTTAATAATAAGACAAAGTGGGGGTAAGAGGATTCTCTATCACCAGTTTCCCAAACTCCACCAGTCAACACGCACAGAGATGGCTCAGTGGATGAGAACACCTGCTATGAAAACAGGAGGACCTGAGTTCAAACCTCCAGCACTCAAATTTTTATAAAGCTGGGCATGGCCCTGTGTGCCTGTAACCTCAGCATAGGTGGGTAGAGAAAAGTAGATCCCAGGACCTCCATGGCCAGCCAGCATAGCCAAGTTCAGTGAGAGACCCTGCCTCAAGGAAACAATACAGAGAGCTATAGGGAAAGACACCTGACATCTTCCTCTTCTGTCCAGATGAGTGACTGCACCCACATGCATATGTGGATCCACCATGCACATGACAGATGCACACACACACACACACACACACACACACACACTGAAAAGGGAGATTATTTCTCAATGAAGTTGAAAAAATGAAATTAATTTGGAATAGAATAACTGAAAAATAATTGTCTCAGTAGACAGAAAGGGCCAGCTGAACGGGCTTTGGGTCTTTTTCATTCTCCAGCTACAGAAAGAGGCCTTCTATAGTACAATGAAAAAAGTAAAGACACACATACATCATCTAATAGACATGTTTTGGAGATAGGATAAAAGTCCACTTTTTGAAATTTTTCATTTTCAAAATGGAATAACTGCCATGCATACATGTCAGATTATTATAGATGCACCATTGCATGATATTTCTTCCAAGTGTTAGGATATAAACATACAATGAGTTGGCCTTTCTCTTTCTCAATGTCTGCTTACTAATTAATTACTTGCTTCTAGAAACATTGTTGGGGATTTTCAACGTTCTATCTCCTGATCACTTCTTCCTTCCATGAAATTCCTCGCCCTGTTTATTCTGAAGGCATCAGCTAGACACATTTCTTCCACAGAGCTCCCTCTGAGCTGACACCACTCCCTACCTACATGACACCTACCTTTTGGTGTCGGTCCTATTTGTCATACTTAAGTACTATAAATTATCACCTATCCTAGCCAAGTGGAGACTGCTGGTCACATTATTCAACATGATACTTGTCAAACTATTTTCATGTCACCAGATTAGTTGTATTTCTGTCCCTTGGGACTCTAATAAACTTCTGAGAGTTTTGTCCTATGCTTTTTCCGCCACTGTGTCTTCCTTTGGTACTGAGCATAGAATCTGGTCCCAAGCAAATGCTTAAATGTTTGACTGAATTGATGAATAAACCTGCTTCAGAGTGCCAAACATGGCTCTGGCACTAAACAGTTTACTCTTTAGAGACATGATCCTTGTGATTTGTGACCTATGTTGGTGGAGAGATTATCCCTGAAAATTATTCATTGTGTATAATGTGAAAGGAAATGAAGAGGGTGCAAGTTTCTAACCATGATTGCCGTTAGCAGGGAGATGGTCATCCAAGAGCTAAGTCACCTTGAATCTTTGTGTGAAATGCAGCTAGCATGCAGAAACCATTGCTAAAGAGACTGTTACATATCACTAAGTTTCCATACATCCCATCCAGTACTTACTCTCAAGTGTTCAGATGATGCTCAAGGCCTTCCTCATGGAACTCCCTCTCCTTAATGTGTTGGGAAGGTTCCACCTTTTCACATAAGCTAAACTAGTGATGGCCTACCTCACTATGTATTTCTCAAGCTTACCCCCACTCTAAGAGCCTGTCTCCCAATCTCCCTATCCATGTTAGCCTTCCCTCTCCTGACCCTGTACCTAACACTGAAACCTTCCTCAAAGCCCAACTGTGGCAAGGTCCTCCAAAGAGACATCTGACAAAAGAAATCTAACCCTTCTCTGAATCCAATGATGCTCACAGGTTCCACCCTATAGTACATATTTGCTTTTCAAATATATGTCTTGCTTCCTTAAGTGAATTATTCTAAATCTCTGAAATGTAAGAATCACTTTATTGATATAAGTTTTATATCAATAATTCTATGGACCAATTAATAGTAACATTTACCTTCCACCTTGAGTTTCCACGAGTCAATACAATCTGCTTAGCAACAGTACCTGGTACGCCATAAGTACTTCATAAAATGTAGAGTAACAACTGTAGTGCTTTTGGGCACATGGTAGCTGACCATATTAAGTCAAACCACTGTGACATCAGTGAAGGAAGGTGACATAAAAGGGCCACTAACTCCCTCTTGATTTTAAGCCACTTGTTGACTCAAATTCTAGAGATCCACACACTCCAGGCTTGTTCAGTTGTTCAGTTTCTGAGAGGAGAGCCTCAACAGGGTCAGGAGCAAGAGGATCACGGCACCTGAAGTTCCACCTAAAGAGACCCTGCTATCTTCAGAGAGCCTTTTAAGCCGTTTACTTAGAGAGATATTCCAGGAACACAGCAGCACAGCTTCACCTGGCAGCTGTATTCCAATCACTGCTGCTCTCTGCACAGTGACTATGGCAACAAAGGCCTTACAGCATCTTCTTCTTTACTCTTTCCTGATCTTCAGGATCCTAAGGATCTTCAGTGAGTCCCAAGACTTGCTGGGTCTAAGGCTCTGTGCTGGCAAGGAGCTCTTGCAGCATTTTGATTGGGCTAAGACAGTAAGAGTTTGACAATGTAAAGATGAAGAAAAGGAAAGAAGACTTTGTTCCTCGCAGTGCTGACCAGTAACACCACAACTAGAGCCCTGAGTTACGCCACAATGCTTGTCCAGTCTGATTTGGGTATGCCTCTGGCTACTCAGGGTTCCTCAGCTGTTCCTTCAACCCACTGCAGCTGGCAGAGGTAAGAGGAAAAGCCACCAATGCTGGAAGCTGGCACGTGTGCTCTTAAATCCTATCTAAAGGGACTCCACTTCAATGAATGACTCGAAAATGATTGATACAATTAACCTAATGTCCCCGATCCTTCATCAAATAGACAGCTGAATGATTAAAGAACTTTTCAAACACTGGCAAGCAAATTGCCAATGAAGTAGAGGGAAGGGCAGTAGCCAGATCACTCCAGGTGGGAGGAGGGAGCTATGTTGAAGAGAGCAGGCCCTGGCCTTGGGACCTTTTTCCTCCTACTGGGTTGCCTCACCCAGCCTTGATATGAGGGTTTGTGCCTAGTCTTATTGTAATTTGTTATATCATATTCAGTTGATATCTCTGGGAGGGCTGCTTTTTTTAAAGGGAAATGGAGGAGGAGTGGATCTGGGGGACAGGGGAGGTTGGGGGGGGCAGAGGGAGTGGAGGGAGGGAAATATGCAGTCAGGATGTAATGTATGAGAGGGAAAAAAAAAGAGTGCTGGCACATTTACTTGTCATTTTCAGAGCAAGCTTTTAAAGCAGTGCTTCTCAACCTGTGGGTCACAACCCCTTCGGAGATCACATATCAGATATCCTGCCTATCAGATATTTACATTATGATTCCTAGCAATAGCAAAATTACAGTTAGGAAGTAGCGACGAAGTAAGTTTATCATTGTGGGTCACTATGACGTGAGGAACTGTATGAAAGTGACACCACTGAGAAAGTTGAGAACCATTGCCCTAAGGATTATGTCTGCATGGCAAAGACACCAGAAGAGTTGATGCCAAATGCATCTGAATTCAAGTCATCATTCCTTCCTGGTTTGTACTGTGCTGATCTATGGGGAGATATGCTTTATTTAACACGGTGCTGATCTATTTAGTAACCTCAGTGTGCAGCTTGGAGAATGGGTAGCTAAAAAGATCAAAATAATCAACAAAACCCACACCAAATTCTTTTAAAAGATAAAATGAATTTTAAAATATAGCACCTAATATTTTTCATTGATCTGAGTCTCACTAATAAAGGAAAAAAGAAAGACAATAAAAAGTCAACAGAACTGTATTTTTCTAACGTGTGTCAATGGTTTAGAGTTGGACTTGGGATATATAGGTAGGTAGGCAGATAGATAGATAGATAGATAGATAGATAGACAGACAGACAGACAGATAGATGAATATCCCCATCATGCATGCTGTACTCCTTTCCCCATAGAATTTGAAATAAGAACACTGAACTGTCAGCAGACAATTCACAATTCTTCCCCTAAACAGAAGGACTCTGGGGTGGTGTGAATGAGAATGCCCCCCATAGTCTCAGGCATTTGAGCACCTGGTCCCCAGTTGGTGGTGGTGTTTGGGTAGGTTCAGGTGGTACAGATTTACTGGAAGAAGTCACTGAGGGCAGACTTGGAGATTTAATAAGCGTCTGCCACTTCCAGTTTGTCTTGTCTGCTTCATGCCTGCAGTTGAAGACATGAGCTCTCAGCTCCTTCTACCAGCCGCCATGGCTTCTGCATGTTGCTGCATTTCACCTCTGATGGACTCCAACCTAAAACTGTAAGCCTCAAAATTCTTTGCCTTGGTCAAGGTTTTTATCACAGCAACAGAAAAGTACTTAATACAGAATCCTTGCATCTCGAGGGTTTACTCTCTCTCACAGCTATCCTGCACCAGAAAATAAGTGTTTTGAAGTCTTTATTGAAGGACTAGGGTGCAAATTTCTCTATGAAATCTTCACCTTTCTTCCAGAATCCTATGCATGTTCTCACTGGAACTTAACAGAGGACACTAGTATGCAGCTGCCATGTCTTGTGGCTTCTTACCCATGCCTGTGTTCATATCCCCTTGAATAAGGGGAGCAGAAACTATATCATATATATGTATGAGTTTGGGCACCTCCTAGTGCCTCAGTTTTAACTCCCTGTCCAATGGAGATAAGAGAGTTTACTGTGTAGAATTGTAAGAATTTACATTGAACATCTAGAACAATACATTTTAACAACAATGGGTCAATAATTATATAAAATTTTCAAAAGCATCTGAAACCAAAATAACATTTTTAGGTGTTTTTCTATTTCCTTCCAAGAAAGACCCATAGCTGAAACATGGATTCAAAAAGCTGCAGGATACAGAGAAATGTCTGAAAATTGAGGAACAGCGTTAGTTTCTTTTCGTGTCTCTGTGGCAAAATACATAACAGAAGCAAAGGAGGAGAAGACCAGTGTATGGGCTCACATTTCAGAGAGAACAGACCTCAATGGCGGGGAAGGCACGGTGGTGGGAGTAACATGGTCCAGGGTGATGGAAGCATGTGGCAGGAGTGTATTCCATAGAACCAGCCAGAAAGCAGAGAGCTCTGGCTGGAACAAGGCTGACCTTTCACCGTCAAGCCTCACCTCTTCTACCTCCTAAGGTTAACAGTTGCTCAAAACACCAGCACTAGCTGCAGACCACGTGTTCACACAGGTGAAAAAATGCATGAGCCTGTGAAGAACACTGTATATTCAACCCATCACAGGTACAATTCAGACTAAAATCTAGGGAATGTAGAATGCAGCAAAATGTCACAAATCTTTCAGTGTGAGAATGTGAATGTTGTGGTAAGGACTGGAACTTTCTGAAGTTCTGCTGCCCAGCACTGCATCTGTGAGCTCTTACATTGGCCATTCCAGTTCCTGCTCAAGTGACCTCAAGGTCTGCAGTGCATATGCATTCTAGATGATGGGCTTTTATAACATGCATTCTTTAATTTGCCTCCTACCAATGCCTCCAAATCCTCTCTGCTGTTCCTTCCATTGCCCCAGACTCCCTCCCAGGACCTCTTTTCCCATCAGTCTCCCCGACGCTGCCAGCAGACCATTCCAAATCCTCCCCTGCCACAGGACAAAAGCTGCACAGATGTGGATCGAGCTGGCACTGGGAATGCTAACAGCACTGTCATCCTGTCTCAGCGGGATGGTAGTCCTTTCTCTCTGGGACCAGAGGCAGAAAAAAACTGGGGGTTTAAAAAAAAACAGAAAAGAAAGACTGGGGTCAGAAAAAGAGAGAAGACAAAATAACCCATTGAAATAAAAAGGAAATGCATGAGTGCAGTTTCTATCTGAGGAAACAGTAGGGGGCAGCGGGGTGGGCACCAGAAGAAGAAAGACAAAAGAGCAAAATGCTCTGGGTAGCAAAGGGAGCAAACCACACAAAAGTCTTGGAGGGGCGAACTAGGAGGAGGCGGCCAGTAAAAATGATGGTTGAAAGGAGCTGAAAGGTAGGAACCACTGAGAGTCCCTGCTGGAGTCCCTGGATCCACAGCCTCTGCCCTGTCTCTGGAATTGTTTCCTCTCTTCCTCCTCCCATTGGCTTTTCAGGCCTTGAAATGCCCAGATTCCAGCTTTTTTTTTTCCTATAAAAGAAAGCAGTGTTTTGCATGTCTGAGAGAAGTCCAGAGGAAGGTGCCTTCTATGGCTTTCTCAGGACACATCCCAGTCACAGCCCATACCCCACAGCCATCTTAAAAGAGCCCTTTGAAGGAAATGGTATGGCTGGTGCTTGAGACAACTCATCTCTGGGGACTCTGGATCAGAAGGTGTCCTCCTGATTGTGGATCACTCTCCTCTCCCTAAGCACCCAACGAAGGGACAAAGCACAGTGAAGCTCAGGGCAAGACGGATGCTGTGAGCTGAGAACCGACTCAAAGGACCATGCAGAATACAACTTAGGTACCTTGAAAAGGGCCCAGCAATTCTAATAACCCCTGTCAGCAAAGGCTGAGTACAGTCAGAGGACAGGGCAAACAAGCTGTGCAGATCCTTCCATCTTGCATTCTTGCTGAGGCCATTTCAGATTTAATTAGAATTTGATCTCCTTGATGGAGAATCTCGTGGAAAATTACTCAACTCTATTCTAGGACCTGAGGCCAAGATGCCCCAGCTAACTTCTCAGCTTTTGTTAAACTGCTTGCCTGTGCAAACCTCTTGCTGCAGTTGCTAAGATATGGTCTTTGCCTTTAAAATTCCCATTGGTCCAAATGTTTGGGGCTACACTTAAGTCCCAAATACCTGGCTGTAGTCCCAGCTAGCTGGAAAAAAGACTTTCAGTTGGCTCTAAATTATGTCTGAGTGGTCATCCCTGGTGGGATCCCCATAACAAGCTCTTTGAAAAGCCTATGGGATTTCTATTATCTGAAGCCATCTAAGAGACTTGAGCCAAGCTGATACACACATATACATGAATGTCAAGACATTTTCAACATACGGAAACGTTTCTGTTATTCTCCAGTACTACCGAGTCAGAAGAGATTATGTTAGTCTACAGAGAGTTCATGAAGTACTGAGGACGAAGCACACCCAGGGCAATGCTTTCCATTTATCTCTCCCTGACCTCAAGAATACTGTGCACAAGAGGGCTTCCCATCATTTCAGAGAGGTAAATGGTTCTGTAAAGGTAGTGTATGATTTGAAAATGCACAGGTTAGCTGGAAGTGATAGACAACACCTCTAATCCCAGTATTTGGAAAACAGAAGAGGGAAAATTGCTACAAGTTTGAGGCCAGTCTGTCCAGAGAATTCCAGGATAGTCAGGACTGCTTAGAAAGATTCTGCCTCAAATCAGACAGCCACCTTCTGAACTTTGTACAAATCCTGAGGACTTTTCTTAAAAGGAAAACGTCCCATAGCTGAGTGTGGCTTTAATTGGTGTCCATGTGCAATATTCCAAAATTTGCTTCTGCTCCTCATCAGTCTTTTTGAGAAATCACCATGTAAAACAGAATAAACCTGTGGCATATGTGTGCAGCAGAAATCATGCCACGATTTCATTTGCAAGTCTTTCCCTAAAGTGTAGCAGGTAGATGATAGGGGAGCAGAATGAATGATGCCTACAACAAACTCAAGACCACAGTTCATCTTTCTAGGACAGGTGGGAGTGGAACTACCCGGTCTACTGGGGAAAGCCATTCTCCAGCACCCTCCTTTCTACCTTCACAGCCCGCCCTTCTATCCTTTTAACCATAATTCTGGCCAAGAGTTGAAGCAAACTCTTCACAGTGAGAAAGACGAAGGAAGGAGTCTCAAGTGATTGACAGCCTAATATCTACCTTACAAGGTCCTTGCAAAGATTAAATTATGTGGTGTGTTCTGTACAGGCATCTGGCATATTATATGAGGTTGAAAATGGTAGCTGTGTTACCTGTGTGTGGCTTTATAGCAGGACCTAAAACATCCACATTCAACTGTGATGAATTGATTTGTACACTAATTGTAGGGGTTTTTTTCAGCCTGCTATTGCTTGAAAATATTGAATGTATTTTCTGTTGAGTGCATATTTGAGCGTGTCAGCCTATAGCAGGGATTCCACATGGATTTGTTGAAAGAATAAAAGAAGGAGGGAAAGAATGAGCAGAAAAATGCAAATGTCCCCAGTTGCATAAAAGGAGAGCAAAGGGATGTGAGTACTCCTTAATCTACTCACTGTCTGCAGCCTGCATGCCTGTGCAGAGGAAGTAAGCTTGAAGGGCTGGAGAGATGGCTTGGTGGGTGTGCAAAGGAAGCAGGCTCAGCATCAATGCTCCAAGAAAGTTGCCTAGGCTTTCTGTGGACCCGGGTCTCACAGACAGACTCTCACTTATTTACCCTGAAATGCCTCCAAGAGAGGCATATTTTTCCTTCGACCCCACCCCCCTGCTCTTCTCTATTTCTAGTCACATCATAAACACGTGAAGCTGAGCGGTTTCTGTTCCTTATGTGTAATTATATTTCCATTGGGCTCTAGAGGCAAATGTTAAGCCATCAGCTCTCCATCTTCGGAATGATCTAAGACCAAACTGGAAGGCCAGTTAGTGCACCATCTGGAAGGTGAGGCCCGGGCAGCCACATGGGACATGGCAGCATGAATTTTTCCGGAGAATGAAGTGTGAGTTGGGAAAAAAGACAAATGAGAGCCAAGCAACAAAAACTAAGACACTAGAAAAATGGGGAGGAGCAAACATAGGAATCTGCAGAAGGATCAACCACAAATATAGATGACCCCGCTGAGCCCAAACAGTTAATTTACACAAAGTTCTGCAAAATAAAGACAACTATGTCAGGCTTTATTTTGATAATAAAAATTTTAATTAATTAAATAATTAAAGTCAGGGGCTAGAGAGATGGCTCAGTGGTTAAGAGCACTGGCTGCCCTTGCAGAGGACCAAGGTTCAAATCCCAACATCCACCCAGTGGTTCACAACTGCCTGTGACTCCTGTTCTAGTGCCTTCTTCTGAACTCCAGAGGGCCCAGGCACACACATGATAAACAGACACACGTGCAAGCAAAACATTTGTAAATTAAAAATAAAGATATAAATTTTTAAAAAATTAAAATTAATACATTTTATCTAATCATTTATTTTTGAAACAGGGTCTTACTGTGTAGCCTTGGCTGGCCTATCACTCACTCTGTAGACCAGGCTGTCCTCAAACTCGTAGTAATCCACATGACTCTGCCTCCTGGGTGCTGAGGTTGAAGGCATTCACCACTGCTCCCAGCAATTCACTAATTTTCGAAAGCTTTTTAAAAAATTTTAAATTAATTACTTCCCCAAAGCCTTCCCTTTTGCAATCTGGATATAAAAATGTTTTATTTTAATTGCTTGGTTAAGATGGCCCAGATGTATCAGTGGGTGTCAGAGAAACCATTGGTATTCCATTGTGAAGATCTCTGGTTGAGTGTCAGTACAGATGATGCTGTCTAGAATCTCATGGAGAAGTGGTTCCTGGTAGGTTGCCTACTCACCATGGTCAAGGATGTACTTCACAATCTCCCCATTGCCAGTTTTAGCTGCGTAGTGAAGGAGTGAACAGTGGTCTGGTCCCTGAATTAACAAGCTGCCTCCATTCTTATAGCTTTCTATGAGCTGAAAGAAAGAGACACAAGGAAAGAATATCAGCCATGCCCAGAACAGGGATAAAAGCTCCAAGGTCACATAGAAAAGTCACTTAGTAAACCACAGATGTTTTTAGCCTCAGAGGATGCAGGGAGAAGTGATGAAGCTCCAACCCTTCATCACTCACATGGATGGTCGATGTCTGACATAACTCCGGAAAAAGTCTGAGGGTATCAAATAGCTCAAGGAAGCAGGAATGTGCTGAACTGGCTTTCTTCCCCTTCTTCAGAGCCCCAGACTCTGAGAAGAAAACTAAAATTTCCTGAGGTTTATCCAGCTTTTGCTACAGCAGGAAGAACCTGACTCTGGCCCTCTACAATTCTTTCCTGTATCTTTAGCTGTTCTTTGACATGTCATGAACACAATCACCAAATGCTTCATTTTCCTGCACACAGCACTCATACACACATACGTGGGCACACATGTGTGCATGCACACACACTCGGAGGGAAGGTTCATTTTTTTTTTCATCCTGATACCTTTTGTGAATCAGGCAGTGTATACGCAACATGGCTAGAGATGATCATGTAATAAAGAGAAGCAAAATGTGTGAAGGTCATTGTTTCTATATGAGAACAGCCAACTGTAGTGGGTAGCCATTCCAGCTTTGATCTGGAAGTTCCAACCCCCATTGAGGTTTCAGCAACTGTCACGCCTACAAGGCTGGGCCAAGGGAGGGCCCTGAGGACCCGAGATCTGGATGGGCCAGCTTGCTCTCTGTTCTGGGACCCTGGATGGTGGAAGTTGACCGAGCAGAGCTCCAGAGAACACCGCTGGACTGCGATACACCTTCCCTAGACCCCGTGACCTACCTATCCCTTCATTTGTAAGTTACCCACTAAATAAATCTTCCATTTAATTACATGGAGTGGCCTTAATGATTTCACCAATAGCCAAAAGCCTGTGTAGAAGCCAAGAATTTAGCCACCAGCGAGTAGGGTGGGCAAATGAAGATGCAGACCTAGTTCATGAAGTATCGGATACTCTACAAAGTATAAACATGTCACTGTTTTCCAAACCGTGGAATGTCAGGACAAGAGGAGCCTTGGTGAAGCTTCTCATAGATTATTTGAAGACAAAGAAGAATCTACCAACAGAGCAGGTCTCAAGAATACTAACACATAAGCAACAACAACATGACTCAGTCACCAGCCTCGCAGGTATCCAAATTCCACAGGAAAAACAGAAATGTTGATTGCAGGGAGAGATGGTATGAGGCCAGCAGAGGAACACCAGGGAAATAAGCAGTTTTGGGAAGGAGCCAGGTAAATGTATCTAGAAATTCAATCAAGAAGAGGGGCGGATCTGAGGTGTTGGAAGGTCGGGGGCTGAGGGAAGCCGTACCCCCAAACTTTAGGGCAAGAGAACAGGAGGAAGCAGCATGGAGAGCCAAAGGAGAATCTTGGTGTGTTCTGCCACAATGTCTTGTGATGATACTGTGTCTTTGTGGGCAGATCCAGTGAGGATAGCAGTACAGACCGACCCAGGCCAAGTAGGGATCAGCTGTCCTGAAGCTGCCTTTGGGGAAGATTGTATACTATGACTAAAAGTCAGTCCATTAGCAATTTAAGTTATGTGTTACGTATTCCCACCTCATGGGAGCCCCTGGACTCTGCGCTCGCTTGCTCAATCTCTCTCTCTCTCTCTCTCTCTCTCTCTCTCTCTCTCTCTCTCTCTCTCTCTCTCTCTCTCCCCGTTTCATATGTATTATTGTGTATTCTTCACTTGAGGGAAGTAAAAGAAAATTGAGAAGATGAGAGATAAATACACACACACACACACACACACACACACACACACACACACACACACGCAAAGAGAAATGATTGAAAAAGAAAGCTCTTCATTATGTGTTTCATCTCATAGTAAATAAAGTATTACCGAGTCATTCCTCAGACATTTAGGAAATAATTATAATGTAGATTGTGCCAGGATAACCAGATAGATACAGTGATTGCTTGTATTTTAAGCAATTCTCTGTAAATTCTCTGTATTTTTTAATGTGTAGCAATACATCTAGGATCTGGGGAGTTGTTTGCCTATAATAAAAGCATAAGGAAAGAGCTTCAGATTGCAAACTGGATTAGAAGTGTCCAAGGGCAGGCTTGTTCTTGCTTTCCACAGAATCCAAGGTAAGTAAGTCCTTGCAGGATTGTATACTGGTGCTGGCTAGCCCACTAAAGAGCAATGACCATGAACTTCCAGGAATCCTGTTTAGGGATGAGACTTCTCCTCTGGGCAACAATCCTCTGGGATACTACAGTGAAAAACTGTAACATAAATTGCTAAATGGTCTTAGATGGTCTTTTAATAAAAAAAAAAAAAAAGCCCAGAGCCAGGTATTGGGGTGAAAGCTGAAAGAACAGAGAAGCAGAACAAGCCACAGCCAACCTCACTTCGCCAACTCCTCAGCCGATCCTGTTTCCACAAATCCTCAGACTGAAAGCCTCTGAGTCCTCACCTTTGAGGGTCTCAGCTGAACTGTGCTGCTAAAAGCCTCTAGTTCCTGGTCCTCATGCCTTATATACTTTTCTGCTTCCTGCCATCACTTCCTGGGATTAAAGGCGTGTGTGCTTCCCAAGCAAAGGCATGAGATCTCAAGTGCTGGGATTAAAGGTGTGTGCTACAACTGTCTGGCCTCTATGTCTAATCTAGTGGCTGGCTCTGTCCACTGATCCCCAGACAAGTTTATTAGAGTACACAATATATTGGGGTACACAATATATCACCACTGAAAACAGTACAGACAGCATGGCCAAAATCATATGAGTGAGCCTACAATTGGCCCATATATAGGCAACCCTCTCTCTCATTTTGCTTTCTGCTAGTGATGTGCAGAAAATGTAGAACAGGCATACTTTGGTTTATTCAATGGGTATGCTTAAAAACAGTAAGGGAAGAAGAAAAGGAAAGGAAAAGGAAGAGGAAGAGGAAAGGGAAAGGGGAACATACTAGACAGGGAAAAGAGAAGAGGAAAAAGTTAGTAATTCTCAGCTTCCTTTTGCAGCCTTTGGTTTCTCAGCCTGTACTGTACATAAGCTGATGGGAAAGGTATATCCCCCAATGTGGTGGTCTGAAAGAAAATGGCCCACAAAGGGAGTGGCACCATTAGGAGGTGTGACCTTGTTGGAGAAAGTATGCCACTGTGGGGGCAGGTTTTGAGGTCTCTTTTCTCAAGCTTCCCTCAGTGTATCAGTCAGTCAACTTCCTGTTGCTTACAAGATGTAGCACTCTCAGGTCCAGCACCATGTCTGCCTACATGCCACCATGTTCCCCACCATGATGATAATGGACTGAACCTCTGAACTGTAAGCCACTACCCCAATTAAATGTTTTACTTTATAAGAGTTGCTGTGGTCATGGTGCCTCTCCACAGCAATAAAAACGCAAACTAAGACACCCCTTCAGAGGCAGTCACTGCCATTCCAGTGACAACACACTAGCACTGCTGGAGTTACACAGAGATTCATAGGTAGTCATGAGCCCCCAGATAAATAACCCGAGAACAGTTAGATCTTTTAGAATACTCACAGAATACATTATGACAAATATTTTAATAACTATGTTATTAGAAAAAAATGTATATAGCAAGACTAAGCCAGCTAACATTTTAGGCATCTTTCTATGCAAAATGAACAGTATTGGCAGTCTTATCATATGATTACATCCAGTCTTACCACAAACCAAGAAAGAAATAACACTGTTATCCTGCTTCACAGATAAAGAAATCAAGGCACCAAGAAAATGCGCTAAAGCCATAAAACCATACATAGAGTGAATGACAGAGGCAAGATCTTAAGTCAGGCAATCTACCTTCAGAATTGACATTTGCTTTCAAGGAGATGGTGACCATTTCCTTCCTTGTGAACCAAATTCACCAGAAAATACAAGCACGAGTTGAAATGCCCCAGATGGACTAGCCTGCCTTTTTTCAGTTGGCTGTGACTTCTAAAGTAAATGAGTGTATCAACAGGTGCAAGCTCTGAGTTGGTACATGCATTTCTGGGTCTTACTCAGGCCATTCATATATATGTATTCATTCACAGACACATCTGAAAAAGAAGCCTTCAGATTCTTCAAATGTTAGAGAGCAGGAATTCTAGGCACGATGAGCATTGCATCCTGGGAATACAATCCTTTTTTTTTAAGGAACCAAGGCAAGTCCAGGGAATTCTACCATACTCCTTTGCTGAGTGATGCAGAGTGTGGTGAGGGTTCTCCTCACTCTCTCTGTTCATTCCTCCTTCTCCTCAGCCAGTGCAGGCAAGGGAAGTAGTTTATAGACTGGATCATGAAAATCTGGAGGGGCAATCACCAACATTGTGGTAGGAGAATAGCTTACCTTCATAAGGTCACCAGTTATTACTGCCTGCAAAATTGCTGTGAAAAACAAAAGAGAGATGTTTCATTAGTAGAAGACCCTCTCACTGAGAAGTTAGAACTGAATGGTTCCATATTTAGGAGAAGTAATCTATACCGGGGACAGGAACCAGGGATTCTTCATTAAACAGATGAAATTCCCTTCTTTAAGCCCTTTCCTATCCTCGTACCAATCATATACATGATTCTAGCACTTTCCTGACCCTACCCCCCCCCATCCTGGTACTGAAAAGATGATGTGAAATGTGGAGTTACATTAGATTAAAATGTGACCTGCAGAGGTGTGGAGTGGAACACTGGACAAAACATTATTAATTCCATGAGCCTCAGTTTCCACAACTGCAAAAGAGAAAGTCTAGAGCTCCTGGGCTAGCTGGAAGGGTTAATCATCATGGCTCCTCCTTTCTGTCCTTCTACATTGTTCTCTAGAGATTCAGTACATCTCCAGCCATTTCAGCTGGGAATACTGAAGTGGCGAGTACTCACTGCCACGGATATTAGGGGGATTAGAGCTATAAAAGAGGAAATCAATGTTTCAGTTCTGTTCTGGGGAGAATAATCATATTTGACCTTAAATTAATAGGTGGCTGGTCATGATGGAAATAAGCATAAAAGTCTTTGGTAACTTAAGTTATTTGTAAGGTATTTGTAGCTTTAGAAAGAAAAATTAAAATTTCTAATGGTTTATGCATGTAGAATATAGAAAATAAATAATAAAATTGTGTTAGTCAAAGGGAAACAGTAATGCACCTCTAAAGACAATCATGGTTCCCAAAGGGAGCTACCTGTATTCTTGTAGAACTGATGCCTGCAGAAAAGGAGCTGTATCAATTTGGAAAACAGTCAAACAACGGACTTAGCATTTCAAGTCACAGAGCTTTAGAAGAAAAATAAGCTGTTTATTTTACAAAGGACCATTTTGTTCTTATTTAATTAATGTCTCAATTTGATTAAATGAAAGTCTAGTAGCATGTATGAAGAAACAAGGACTGCAGCGCTGGCCACGGCTCACTCAGTGAAGTGCTTGCTATGCAGCAAGCACGAGGACCTGAGTTTGATCCCCAAGACCCACATAAAAGAAAAGCTAGACATGGTGGCATAAGCATGTGACGCCAGCACAAGCAAGGGGAGACAATCAAATTCCTGGATCTTGTTGACTAGCAAGCCCAGCCTACCCTGCAAGTCCCAGGTTCCAGTGAAATATCCTGCCTCAAAAACTAGGTGGATGGTCCTTGAAGAACCAAACCTGAAGTTGATCTCTGGATGTGCATACATACATCACACACACACACACACACACACACACACACACACACACACACACACACTACAAGAGGGAGAGAGGGAGGGAGGGAGGGAGAGAGAGAGAGAGAGAGAGAGAGAGAGAGAGAGAGAGAGAGAGAGAGAATGAATCCTGGCTCCCACTGACTCTCTATTGCACATTGAAGAGTCCTGAGTAAACAAAGGCATCCAGTACTACAAGACTGAGTACCTTCTCTTTGCCAAAGCAGAAGCTTTGAAAACCTACAGAAAAGAGGGTGGCTGTTTGAACATGGAGGGAAGGAAGAGGCAAGAAGAAGGAAGGGGTAATGTGCAGGACTGGAAAGGACTATAAAAAGCTATATAAGCAATGTACACTTAGCTTTGAGCCGTTCTCTGACCCCAATCTCCCTTCACACAACACAGGGGCTCGTTAGTTAGTTTTTGAGCTGAACAAAAAGAAAGCAAGGGAAAAAACTCAGTGGGCCCCAAAGCAATTCAAAAGGACATGGATTAGTGGGGGAGACTAACCGTGGGAGGGAGAGGGAGCTGTGAGAGTAATCAGAATGCATTGTAACATGTATGATGTTATCAAGAAAGGTATTTATAAAAAAGAAGCAAGAAGTGGAGAGGTATTGAAACAACAGAAAAAGAATTACTATGCCTACAGAACCTATGAAAATATTGGTTCTCCCTCTTTGTTTCATAAATAAGATCCTGACATTGGGAGTGGAGTGGCACTTGGGGCACAGAGCCTAGCGTGGTCTGCCAACACCATAACGCATGCTCCTACACCTAGGCCTCTGTCCACTGGTACACTGAACTCACTGTGGGTTGAGCTCGATTAGGCACCATGACACCCACAGAAGGTGGCCGAAAACACTGTTCCCAAGTTTGTAGTGCTGTGGGAACAGTGATGGATAAGGACATAATTCTGTATGATTTGCTGAACACGAACATTTTAAGCCATTTTTTTTTTCTCCTTGACAAAGAAGGCCAACAGTTGTAATGTTCACCTCTGTAGTGAGGGTTACAGCTTTTAAAAGGCTTTATAAATAGATGGTAGGGGTAGTTTTTCAACACTTCTGCGACTTCACATAAATACACACACACACACACACACAGACTATTCAGAAGGAAATTTCTGTTAAGGGTAAACCTGACCTTTGAAGTTGCTCATGGGAAGCTCTGTTAATACATCATATTTCAGGTGAGAAGGACAGATCAAGGAGCCATGAAGTAGTGTTTTCTTTCAGGACAGATCACAAGGAAGGGAAGACTGAGAAGAACTATTAGCAATTTCAACTTGGAAAAACAAATGAGTTTGGATTTTCATACTATTGAATGCTCCCTTGGCTGCAGTGGACTGTCCTGATTGTAAAAAAAAAAAAAAAAAAAAAAAAAAAGTAAACAAAACTACAATAATGAACCTTTATACGGTCTTGAAACCCACACTCAGAAGCTCAAACAACAGCTCCGCTTACGTTTTCAAGACTATATAGAACTCTTCTCAGAATGTAAGTGATCATAAAAAATAGGAGAGAGAAAGAAAGCTGTGAGAAGATGAGGTCATTATTTTTAAACGTTTATGTAAAATCCCATTTGGCACACGCACCCAATAAATCAAGACAGCAGAAGAAATCCCCAGGGCATATGCCATGCAAAGATATGAACCAATCAATCAGCAGGAGAGGGTAGGTAAGACCTGTGGCTAGCAGTACAGTAGAGGGAGATCTTGTGGAGGATGGGAAATTTAAATCGACTATGCCTGAGAAGTAAAATTAATTGGTGAAGAAGATTTGGAAAGGCCTTACGAGGGAAGAATCTGAACCAAAACATGGAACTTGAAACTACAGTACTTGAGAGAAGCTGCAAAGAGTGCTGAGTGGGAGGCAGCCCCACATCACATCTACGTGCGTGCGTGCGTAGCTTCACAGGCCACGGAAGTGAGTGCTTGTATGCCAAGATTAGGTACTTGGACTGGCACTTCTTAGGGACCTGTCACCATCTTCCAGGTGGTAAGAAGCAAACAGAAGAGTTAAAATCAGATCACAGGAGCATCTAAACGTCCTGCAGCAGGCCAGCCTGCTTCTTCTCCCCTTCTGAAATCCGAGTCATGGCTTGCTCTTAAGTCATTTACCACCAATCCTCTACGCAGGGCCTCCTTCAGCTTCTACCTTCTATCACTCATGAGTGATGCTGTTTGTTTCTGAGGCTCTCCAGCAGCCTCTCAGTTTGATATCCCCATAAGTATGTAGAAGATTGTGTAAAAGAATCATAACCACAAATATTTTCCATTGTGTTGGATATGGAAAGCATGGGCACTTATTTTAAGCCAAGGAACATACCCAAGGGTAGCTATTCTGTAAACATTTTTAGAAACAAGGCTCTCCTCTCTCCCCTGATTAATGTCCTTCCTTATGAACATTGTTGTTTAAGATCTCTCCTGCATAAAGACAGCCCGAGTCCATTAATATTCAACTCCAGGAAATAACCTTGTGAACGATCAGGCTTAAAAACAAAATAATGAGCTGTTATGATTACAGCGTTATTCTTTATTTCTTGAACTCTGAGTTTCCCCTTTGGTTTTCACATAGATCCTTCATAATGAAAATGAATGCTTCAAATTTCCAGAAGCAAAGGGAACTTCAATTTTTAATATATCACAAAGGTTACTAGGTTGATGACTAAGTTCTTTGGAAAAATAAATTGTATAAACTTACATAGTCAGATAGGAAAGGGTAGAGAGCATTTTTAGAGGTGAAATGGCTTATTTTTCTCACTATACTATGCCTTCAAGTAAATGGCTGTTCATACTCACCCCAAGATAGACTAATAAGACTGCCAGGAGGGCACTTGTCTTTCTCACAGCCGTTCTTTGAGAACCTGGATTCATAAGAGCTTGGGTGCACTCAGACATCCACATAGAAGAAAAGTATGACTTCTACTACAGAGAATCTCCAAAAGGAGAAGAGGATGCCTACAATTGGAAAGTTCGTATCCCTCCAAAATTCACCTGGAAACCTTATTGACATGGCGTAGGTGATAGGAGGTGGTGAGTCCTCCAGGGAAGTGATTAGATCATGAGCCTCTGCCTTTGTGAACGACATTGATGCCCTTATAGAAGACAGGAGAATGAGCTGCTGAGTCTCTCCATCTTCTCTGTCTGGGCAGAGGACAGAGCCCCCATTTCTGTGTTGTTCTAGCATGTCATGATGCAGAAAGTAGTTATCCCTTGGAAATAGAGAGGGAGCCTGTGCTAGACATGAATTTTCCTAGCACCTAGATCCTAGACTTCTCAAACTCTAGATCGGGAGAAATAAAATTCTCATGAAAGAAAGGATACTGTAATCTTAAGAGCTCATTATGGATGCAACTTGTAGTATTTTGTTATACAGCAGTAATCGATTTAGAGCCCTTATGATCCCCTCATGTTAGGCCTTGTTTAAGACAATGAGGATATAGTAATATAAAAGCAAAATTCATTCTCTCCTGAAATTTACAATTAACCAAAAAGTACAAACAAGATCTGACTTTATACAGGCAGGCAGATATGGTAAATATGTTGTGATTCATATTGCTCAGATATCAGTCTTATGTTCAGCTAGCTATAGTCCTGGGCAAATCTGCTTACCAAGATTCAGTTCTTTCATGGAAAACTGAAAATTAAAAACAGAATATTTTGAGGCTCTGTTTTGCAAATTGTGATGATTTGTCTTAAATGTCAACTCACTAGAAAC